TATATATATACTATAAATAATTTGATTTAATACAATTAAAACGAGACAATTTGCTTATTTGTAAAATATTATTAGACAATCGTTTTATTGTTTATCAAGCTTGTTAAATCAGATACGGTATCATTGTAAACGATACATTTTTAACGATGTCTGTATTAATGAAATACAACTGATAAGCTTTAACAAGCTTCATTGATTTTACTTTTATACGATACTCGTAGATAAATATAAATACAGAGATCAAATTGACCAGCGTAATTAATTCTATAAACCGTTAAATTAATATAATAAATCATTAAACAAAAGTGCGACTGTTTTCACTGCATAAATTCTCAGTTTCCGAGTTTGATGCCGCAACTTTGCGTCCACGCCATTGAGGGCAAAGACCGTTGTTCCTATTTCCTTCCCCGAGGGAGGACGAAGGGCGTCGCACAAGTTTTTGTAGCCTTTAATATCAGACGTTAGCGTTTCCCACCGCGAGAAGTCATGGGAACATATTGAAGGACGGTCGTGCAGACATCTCGTGAAAAGTCTCGGAGATTTGCGATCGTACCTTGGGAAATTTCCTGACGATCGTCGATCTCGTACGAAAGAAACACCATTGAACTGTTCACCTTTCTCCATTTCGCTAGAATATAAATCTATAGATGTGTATACAACTTGGCTATATAAAGCATACATAATATGACTGCTTTCCTACCGTTATAATAAAAGGAATAATCGTAAATACAGACGTTTTGAAAAGACAAAACTTAAATTTCGCCTTAAATCGTATCCTTATAGAATTTCGTTCCTTGCCTCGCTACAAGTACAATACAAAACGCGACTCGGAATGCCGCAACGTCAAACTTTCGAAAAACACCGGCGCTCATTATCGCGTGTTATCTGCAACGGCATGAATGGGAACCGAAATCGAAATGAAAATGGCGAGAAGGTCATGCTCACGTGTCAGGAATAACACAAGCGTGGCGTTGACCCACATTGTTTTTGAAACGCGATTAAACTCATTGAAAACGACCGAAGGTAGATTAATGGCGTCGGGGCGCGTAACCGCGAAAAGCGGGGCAAAAAGCGAAACAAATTTAACGAGCTGTGAATTATGAAAATCGGTGACAGGCCGCCGCTTTTAAATGCTCTCTCGCGCTCTCTCCAGCTCGTGCCCTGCCGGGTAGGTTCTCACTCTCTCTCTCTCTCTCTCTCTCTCTCTCTCTCTCTCTCTCTCTCTCTCTCTTTCTCTCACCAGTTTGGTTTGGGCGCGTGCCAGTGTGTGTTGAATCGAAACGATTCGAATGCAAAATAATAATAAAACAGTGGGGCTCGTTGAAGGTGGGTGCGGTGGGCGTCGGGGGTGGGAGAGCGGGTAGACGACAGAGAGGCGGGGTCGGCAGCGCATTAACGCAATTAACCTCCAATTAATAACACATCAATTGACACCCGGTCAACTTGTTGCATCAGAGCAGGCCGATAATATGCTGAACGCGTGTGAACCGTGTGTGTACATACACGATGGGCCGCCGTGTGCGGTGTGCGCCGCCGACGCCGACGCGTGTGAGTACCCCGACGTACGTTTTGCTTGCGCGCGTGTGCGCGTGTCTA